TCATTTGAGAAGTTATTTTCATTTTCAGCCATGGAGTCTAAAATAAAATGAAAAAAATATGCTTGCACTATGCTAAAATACATAATGAATTATGCTGTCAATTGCTGCTTACAGTTTGCTTCTATCGTTTGTATATCCAAAGTTATTAAAGTTTAAAGTTGCACAAGGACTTTACACCCTGTATATACTTTTGCAGACACTACAAACCAATAGCTTCAACACAACTGTCTCTGAAATTTAGAAAAATATCTCTCTTTCCAGTTTCAATGGCCCAGCCAAAGTGTGATAGATCCACAGCCTTTGCTCTGCTGCGCACATCAATTTTCAGTGTAATAGAATGTATGCAGCAAAACTTTGGGAGTTCAGCAGTAGCTCAAGGTGACCTACTACACTTCCAAGGATTCCTTATCATCACTTTCCTTTGTGTTCACGCCAGCTGGGCAAAGCCGCCAGCTGCTTTCACCCACTTGGAAGAAACAAAGAAATCAGCTTGGCTCTTTGTATTGGTATTACCCAGAGTGCTATCTGTTTGCAAAGGTGTTTTTGGCCTTCACCCAAAGCAGACAAAGTGTGGTCAGAAGACGCCAACTAGTACAGCATCTTGTACTGCTGCAAATCAAGTTACTGTACTGCTGTAAATCAGTTCAGCTAGTAAGGTATTCACTCAGATTGCTGCTTTAAATAGTACCAGGTAATTCTAGATAGAGAGGGCAAACATTCTTGAGGATTAATTAGCACCTTTGCTCCCTCTGTTGAAATGCTCATTTGTTATTTTCCATGGTGAAACCTCTCTGGTTTTTTACATATTTCCATCATTCCTCCAACAACAGGACATTATGGGAGGAAGCTGAGAAAGCGCTTTCCCTCCTTTCTTCAGCAGTGGAAGACCACCGCACTCACAACAGCTAATTCTGTTGCTAATTAGCTGATGATGAGCTAATTCTGAGCACCGGGAAGCAGTAGATGATTATTTGGCCCCTCAGTGAAAATATATGTCACTGTACAACAGAGGTGCATGCTATGAAGATACATCTAGGCTCTGTGCTTGGTGGATTCTCATTTTATTTTTCTGGGCCCAGTGGTTTCCAGAGATGCGACAGTAATTTTTATTTCTGAGGATCAAGTGTGTTGGGATAAGGAATTCAGTGACGGCTCATGGAATAACAGTTGACTCAGCCACAGTTCTCAGCATCTCTGCACCCCGGTAGTTCTCTGAAGGTTTTCCCAGGGACCACTAAAATATATGGCAGTCTGATTCAAACGCTCTGTTCCCAGTATAGGATTAGGTAAAAGCCACAGAAAGTAACTTCACATCACGAGTAGGCTGGGGACAGAGTGCCTGTGCTGTGATAGAGAGTTCTAACAGCCCTAGACAGCTCAAAGCTTTCTCTGAAGTACTGATCAAAAACAATGCGATATCACATTGCACAACTGAAAAGCCTGACAACAGTTGAAAGACTTGAAAGCTGAGACCACTTGACACATCAAATGCAGAGCAAACTAATGGCAGGCCAGGCTCTTTGGGTAGATGTGCTATCTTTTATTAGACCAGCTGAGTAGTTGGAAAAAAGTTCTTAGCAAGCTTTTGGGTGCAGTCACCCTTCATCAGGCATAGGGCGTCTATGCTGTTCTGAAACTCCTAATGGTAGGTGGAGATTTCTCACCTTTGCTGGATGGAGTATAATTTTGAGGGAAAACTCTATGTTTCTCCACACAGGGCCTTGTTGCATGGTGATTTTGGGAAGCTCTTGGAGCTATTAACCCCTGGATTGTCCACATATTAACATCCATAGATGCTTCTCAAGCAAATCGTGGGACGTCACTCTCCCCTTGTACTTGGCTTTGGTGAGGCCACAGCTGGAGTGCTGCGTCCAGTTCTGGGCTCCACAATTCAAAAAGGATGTGGAGAAACTTGAGAGAGTGCAGAGGAGAGCCATGCACATGATCAGAGATCAGGAAAACAGACCTTATGATGAGAGGCTGAGAGACATGTGACTCTTCAGCCTGGAAAAGCACAGGCTCAGGGGTGATCTGGTGGTCATCTATAAGTTTATCAGGGGTGACCACCAGGATCTGGGGGAACGTCTGTTCACCAGAGCACCCCAAGGGCTGACAAGATCGAATGGTCACAAACTCCTCCGTGACCGATTCAGGCTGGACATAAGAAAGAACTTCTTCACTGTCCGAGCCCCCAAGGTTTGGAATAGACTGCCGCCAGAGGTGGTTCAAGCGCCCACTTCAAATGCCTTCAAGACACAGTTGGATGTTTATCTTGCTGGGATAGCATGATCCCAGCTGATTTCCTACCCATGGGGCAGGGTGCTGGACTTGATGATCCTCCGGGGTCCCTTCCAGCCTGAATGTTTATGAAAGCTATGAAATCTTAAAGTGGTTTTAAGCACTCATTATGCAATTCAAAGTTACACCACTCCAGGCCAGGATTATCTCTGATCTGCACTACTGTACTCAGCTCCTGTTCCATTAAGGTGTGGGCATTCCCCACAGATCTGTTGCCCAAACAAAAGTCCTCCAGTATCCCAGGGTTTCTCACACCCCTGCCCATAAAGCAGAGATAGAAGCCTGGCCTGGCTCATCAGCCCTCTAGTAGCACCTCAGAGCTACAGGTCCTAGCCCTGCCCCTACTCACCAGGCCTCTAATGGCAAGTCACAGCTGTGCAGGTGGGGGACAGTCAGAGAAGGTTTCTAGACTAAGAGTGTGACTGCTCCAAACTCCAAGCTAGCACTGACACCCATCAACATGTGCAGCTCGTAGCACAAAGTGTAAGAAGGCCCATAGTTAACAGTCTTCCATATTCTACTAGAATTTGTGGTTAATTTAAACTGTTGCCAAACCGTGGTGAAATTTGGTGTTCACAACACAGGCTAAAACAGCCTGATTAGGGGAGATAAAGGCTTTGCAATTACTGCTGTATAGCAAAAGCACAGGGCTTTATGTCAGCTGAATTGAATACATATATTTCTCAATCATGCCTGAGGTTAAAAAAGGCTTGTAGGTGAAAATTAATATACAGGAAAGAAGATTTTCTGAGCTGGTTGCTGAGCTGATGCCACAAGTTTATTTCCAGGCACATTTCCCCTGTTCTAGAATGAGCAAGAATATATTTTCTATGACAGTAGAAAATAGTCCTATTTTAAAGGTCTCATAGTTATGCCTTGGGGGTCAGAGGGAATTAAGATGATTAGAAGAAAATGATATGAAGAAATAAAGTGGAGTCCAGAGATTATTCAGCTAAGAATCCCTTCCTGCAAGAAGATTTTCTATGAGAATTTTAATACTTGGTTAACTTTTTACTTGACTACACAATAGTACACCCTACTATGTCCTCTGAGTATAATAATTTGGGACAGATATTTGTGCATTAGTCTTTCAGCCTGTCAGGCTCAATGGTAATTTAATTGCAAGAGAAGCATGGACAGTGCTTACACTTAATACTAATATTTTTTGGCCTTGTGTTTCAATACCCCACAGGCTCTGATTCACCGTGACTTTGTACATTTGTTATGCTCTCTTCCCTCCGCCCACTTTATTTTTATTTGGCATTCATTTAATCTTTGACTGAAACCTTTAGTAGGGAGGAGAGAGAACAAGCTTGATTTAATGACAGTTTTCTGCTTCTACAAGGTACTGCATCAACTACTGCATAACTTAATGTATAATTAAAATAATAAAGGAGACAATTTTGAGAGGTCAGAACACTGAGCTTTTTTCCAATTAGCCCAGGAGGGCTTCAGAATAAAGCATATATATGTGTCTGTGACAAAGGACTTCAGCTACCATTGGCTCAATCTCAGAGTCTGGAGATGCTTTGGTTGGTACTGGGCTCAAGGGAGCCAGGGGTTGTGTTGGAAGAAGGTTGTTTTAAATTACCTCTTCAGTCAAATTAGGGCTGAACAGAGGCCATAGCTAAAGTACCTGAGGGTTCAGGCAGTGCCATATGTCTGGATTTAACATTTTTACACACCTCTTCACTTTCTTTTTTCAGCAATAACTAAAGTGGTAATACCAAAATACTATTAAAAAGACCATCCATACCAGGGGTGTCAAACTCATTTGCCCCTGGGGGCTGGACGAGCATACTTGAGTTGATCTGCAGGCTGGACTGGGAACAACTCCATGCAGAGCACCTGTCGCGCTCAGTCCTGCCCACACACAGCATGCAGCATGCAGGGCTAGGGCCGATCCAGCAACCTACAGGCCTGATCATATGGCTTCACATGGATCTGGCTCATGGGCCATATGTTTGACACCCTTGGTCTACACCTTATTTAAACCTAGGCAAAACCTGGGTTATCAGAGATCAAATGAGGATGGCTTTTTTGTGATTTCCAGACCCATGAAGTTCACATAATGCACACAAACTTTGAATAGATAGACACATTGAACTTCTAAACTGGCTGGAATTCCCTGCCACAGGATTAACATAGTTGGGAAATGGATATTTTTGAATGCCATGTTAAAGTGACGATTGTAATGGTGGGTCCTGGATAAAGCAAGGCACAGCAGTGTCCTTCAGAAATATTCAGGATGCAGGCTGTTTGATGGTTAGGGAACAGCCAGAGTATGGTAATAAATGGTTTTTTTCCCTTCTCTTTCTGCCCCACAAAAGCTCATAATGATGTATTTGTATGTAATTAGTGATATGATGTAATTAGTATGAGTAAATGCTAATAAAGACAGCACCATAAGCTATATTTCAGGCTGAAAACAGGAAGGAGAGAGTAAAGGAGAGCTTTCTTGTTAGAAGGTTTCTGGCTTTTTAAAATAAAGCCCAAATTTTCTGTAATAATGCAGTTGCACCCCAGCTTGGACCTGGCTGGGATTCATAGAAGTTCCCTAGGGGAGGAAGCTGGTGGAAAATCCCTGGGAAGAACTGCAGAGAAGGCTGAGAGGCTGAGGATGATAAAATCCTAAGGAAAGTGACAAGAATTTCCCTAAAGGCTGGGAGAACAGCAACAGGACTGCTGTGGACTTTCCTGAGATTTAAAGCCAGGCCTAGAAGGCTGGAGAAGACCAGGGAAAGCAACCAAAATGTCAACCTGGTGCCTTCTCTGTGATAGAGAAGGGCGGAGAAAGTTAGGGCCATGACAGCAAGAGAAGGTTTTACCTACTAGCTTCTCTTAGTCTGGACTTACGGAGCTGGAGAGCTTGAGAAGGCTGATAGCTAGTGGATAGGGTTACCCTAGCACTTAACTTCTCTAAGCTGGAGAGCTGGAGAGAGAGGGTGGGAGAGGACTGAAGTGGAATCTCTAAGGGATATGTCTACTACACCGGCAGTACAGAGAAGAGACAACTCCCAGGTATATTGCTTGAAGGGTTATGGCAGCAAAGAACAGGGAAGGCCATCCAGGGGAAGAGCTGTGGGAGCTTGTTGACAAGAACTGTGAAAGAGCTTCAAGACTGGCAGAGGATGCTGGTGTTGTGTTGGGGCACATGATGGGACAAAACTGAATTTGTAAGAGGCCTTTGCAGTAGGATTTTAAGGATTATTTTTCATTCTCTAAGACAGTAAACTGTCCCCAGGGAAGATCATTCTGACACTGCAAAAGCCTCTATTGGAGTCCTTGATTGGCTACCAAAGGTGAAAGAGGTAGCATCCATGCCATGTAGCCTAGCCCTGAGGATCTCGGCTGTGTGGGTTCACACATACTTATACCCATCCTCAGCACAGTCTAGAATACCACAGAGCAAATACTGAAGATTACAGCTCCATGGTATTTTCTCCCCTGGAACAAAGGTTAATGTATAAGTACGCTGGGTATAAAATGCATGGAGCCTGTATAGGGAAATACAGATGAAGAATAAAGGATTTATTTGCGTTTAAATATTTGCTTTGTGGTGGGGGGGTTTTTTGCCTATGTAAAAGCACTATGTAGTAGAAAGAACAATCACAATTCAAACATTCAAATCCCTAAGAGATTTTTTTCATATGCAGTTCCAGCAGGTGTTACTTCCTTGTTTCTCTCTACCTGATGCAATATAACTGATGTTGAGCCAAATACCTCTAGAGCTGATGTCTTCAGGGTAAAGGTGAACATGCTGTGGAGGCTTTTCCTTTTGTTTTGTTTTTATTTCTTTGTTTGCCTTTGTTTGCAGTTTTCATTTTGTTTTGCAGTTTGTTTCTTCTTTGACTTTTGAAGAGTTGCTTCACAAGGAACCATTATCTACTGCTTTTATAAAAGTCATCAGTCTTTCCAGGGAGATGGACTGTGACCATCTTGGAATCCTGGCCCACTCCATGGTCAGTGAGAACCCAAGTAGAAATCCCCAAAAGACTGGGAAGGAGAGTTCACCTGATACTATTGTTACCAAAGATGCCCTTTAATATCCAAGGAATTACATTAAACGTCTATTATGCTCTGCACCATTACACTGAGAAAAAATAAAGACGGATAGTGATAGTGATTTATTTGCATAGTGAACAAAGCTGGTCAGGCACCCTTTTCCTCTTTCCCCCGTGACATAAGTTCCAGTTAGCATTGTAGGTGTCTAAGCTCACAGGTTTTGGGAAAGAATATATCATTTTAATGTATACAGTGAATCAATAATGACTCTTGCAGCACTTGTGTGATATCACAAAACATGGGTGGGACCCTGTAAATTTTTATTGGCACCTGCTCCATTCTTATACATCACACGCTTATTTTGGCAGCTCAAGGTTGCATATGAAAAGCAAATATTAGGCAATCTTCAGTTTCAGATGGAAGGTAAGTGGGACTGGATTAATCTTATCTTGACCCTGCATTGCAGAGAAACAACACAGAACCTCGCTAGAAGACCAGTGTTTTTGAAATGGTAAAATGTCAAAGTCCTCAGTAGTTCGCACATAGGACATATAAGGAGAGAAAACTGAGTATTACTGTTTTTTCTTTAAGAAATTAATCAAATATCTTCACATTTGACAGGCATGGGAAATTGTAATCATTTTATCTCTTAGCCATCAACAACTGCTTAATCTTTTTAATTAAAAGGATTAGTCTGATTTAGCTGCCTCTAAAACTTGGCTTCATTGGGTGATTTTTTTTCTTCATAAGGGTTAGTATTGGTGAATTGTTTTTGTGGTAAAATGTTTCAGTCATCACAAGAGTCTAAGAGGTGTTGGGAATTATTTAGAAAATTAACGTTGAAAGTATTATTATTTTGTTTTACTATTATCACTACATTGAAGAAAGGCAGAGTGTCAAATCCTGAGGACTTTCAACTCCTTTTCATACTAATGAGGGAAGCAAGAGCTCAGGAAATCCCCAGATGTTCCAAAGGTTTGACCCACATTTATGAAATCTTGGGATCAACTCCATAAGCTAGCTGTTTCAGCATGCCACAGCTGGTTTGTTCTCACAGCTGAGATGTTTTTCTCAGCCTCATATTTCACCTTACCAGTACCCCATTAGTTTGCAGTGGCTACTTTTAAGGGTTTAATTTATTCCTTCTGCAAATTAGTAACTCTTCTCATTGTTATCCTCTGTCCTCTTGTTTCTCCCTTTTCATTTATTGTCCATTGGACATTTTTTTTGCAGTGACCTAACAAACATGTAACAAAGTATCTGTCTGAGGTCAAATGGGAATTATTGTCCTGGGAGTAAGGGTAACTAGGAAGCCCTGGGCACAAGACCTCACAGTCCAGTCCAATCCCCAGAAAGTATCTCCACTGACAAGCCTTGGAATTGATTAAAAAACTTATTATGACCTGTATTGATTTGATTTAGGACCCTATGAGTGCATCTACATGTGCATTACTGTGCCTTTGCTACTGCACATTAAGTTTGGTACCTCTAATATGTGGTACTACATAAATGTGCAGTAGCCAGTGCTACTGCACAGTAGCACAGGTGCATGGTCTTTTCATGACACTTAATGAGCAGTAGACTAATTTTACTGCACATCAGGGCATTAGCTTGGTTTTTGCCATGATGCTTAATGCACAGTAGACTGATTCTACTGCACATTAGCATGTCTTGTGTGTGTAGATGTGCCCCGTGAGTTGTTACTTATCCGTGACAAACAAAACATCTTTTTTCTCTTGCTGCAGTAGAGGCAAAGGGATTGTTAGTGGACATGTGATGTTCACAAGACGTAGTGATAATATGTGGCATCCAGTTTCTCTTTTAAAAAAGCATATTGTGAGCATAGGGTACATGTTAACACTTAGTCAAGACTATAAAATAGAATTTCCTGTGTTCCTATGGTGTGCTTAAAGGGGTGAATGCATTGGGAAACTAAAAGATATCAGGTTTACCCAAAGAACCTTGTCTGCCTATGTCCTTAGACCAATGGCTACCACCTACATCCCTGAAACTTGGGAAACTAAAGCAGATTTGTGCACTGAGAAATACTGATATGCACCCTGGGGTGACAGATACGGCATTGGCCGAACCTCTGTACCTTGGCCAGCAAAAGGTGCTGGTTTTTATACCATTGATAGGCCAGGTCAGCAATGGGAGCTTCTGCAGGTATAGTCTTGTTAAGAGAGGCAGTTAGCTGTGTTAGTCTGAAGTCAGGCAGAAGGCAGGGTAGGTTTGCACCTTATAGACTAACTAAATCAGAGATGTCAGGCTGGTCAGTGCTGTGATTCTGAAACCACATTTCCACTCCAGATAAAGCTCCACTATAGAGGCAGTGACACTGGCATAAACTAGTTCCTACTGAAAGCATTTATTGCCATTGAGGTCCAGGAATGAACCAGTCTGGCAGTTTGAATGACAGGGGCAGCATTATTGGCTTTGAAACATCAAGAGTTTTCTCTTGATTGTCTCCACTGTGCTGATTTCCTTCCTTTCTCCAGGGGACTAGAAGGTACCAAATTCTTTCCAGAATCAAGATGCTCTGCCACCCCAATGGGAGCAGATACTGTGCACCCAACACTGTCTAGGAGCACACACGATATGCACTTTACTTTGGTAATACTCCTGGGTTCAGCAGAGGCACTTCTTCTCCAGGGGGAGATGGCTGCACACTTGGCCAGCTTGACTCCTCCTCCTGGGGTGGATGTGGGCAAGTGTCAGGGTGTTTTGAAATCTTCCCAGAGGCACTGGGTATTGGCTACAGGCAAGGCCTAGTTATCTAGACAGATATCTAGCTGGGGTATTATGATCCCAGCACTCATTCCTGCCCAGGGCAGGGGGTCGGACTAGATGATCTGTTCAGGTCTCTTCTCACCCTTGAAACTATGAAGGCAGGGGACTTGGACTGGGGAGCGCCAATGCTCCTGCTGGGACCAAAGCCGGAGGGCGCTGAGGGATTCCCTTGACTTC